CTCCCCTGACCCCCGCGTCCGCCTCCCCGGCTTCCCTGTTTCCCTCGTCGCTGCCCTGCCCTTTCTACAGTCCCGGCTTCATCTCCCACCGTGCGCGCTTCGACCCCTGCCACCGTCCCCTGGTCGGCGGAGCCCCGGCTCCGCCCCTCTGCACCTTTCCTCTGCCTCCTTTCCTCTGCCCAGCCCTCGTCTCTCCCCGTGGCTGATGCGCCCAGGCCCCCCGCTTCAACCCACGGTGAAGCCCTCAGCCCCTCCTTGGGCATCCCAGCGCCTGCCTCTTCTTCCTGGCACTGGAACTCAGTCCCTTGTCGGGCCCACGACCCGGGGAATGACTTTTCCATGGATACCCCCAGCACCGCCCTCTTCTCTTCAGAGTCATCCCAGGCCTCCTCCCTGCACTTCATCAGGGCATCTTCTCTCCTCCCCTCCCCTTCCAGGCTTGCTCTGACACAGCCCTAAGGAGGGGGCTGGGCTGAGTGGCTTTGCAGGCACTGGTAGGTGATGGTTGGGGTGGGGGCTTTTAGGGTTTGGGTGCCACTCCCCTTATCATTGTTCCCCTTTCGCCAGACATCTCTGAGCCACACAGGAACAGAGCTGAAAAGAAAGGAGGAAACCTCTCGTCCAACCCCCTCATCCTCAGGGGGAAACTGAGGCCCCTGGAGGCCAAAGGGATTGGCCCTGGTCACACAGCCAGTTCTGGACCCTGGGAGCTAAAAGGAGCCCACAGAGACCAACATAACCCACTTATTGAACATTCTGTCAGTTTATCCCCAGTTTACAGATAGGGAAATGGAGGCTCAGAGTCATGAAGGGGCTAGTCGCAGTCACAGAGCTATGAAGTGGAGGACGTGGGGTCCAAATCCAGGTCAGTCTTAAGCCAGAAACTGAGATCTCAGCAAGGCCATCTGATTCCAGCCCTCTGACAGGTGAGGAGATTGAGGCCCTGTTCTCCTGATCTGGCTCCTGCCCTCTCCTGACACCCAATCCTCAGCACCCCTCAAGTGCCTCTGAGTAGAGCTTTAGAACACAGTGCTGGATTCAGACCCTGGCCCCAGCCACTTACTGGCTGTGTGACTGTGGACTTCTGAGCCTCAATTTCTGTTTCTATAAGATGGGATGATAATAGAACCCACCTCAGAGGGTTGCTGTGTGTATGAAAAGAGTTAATAACATGTGCAATGCCTAGATTAGTGGCTGGCACCCAGGTAAGTGTTTAATAAATCGTTACTTATGCACATCAGAAACCTGCCATGCCCTCTGCCCACTCTTTACTTGTAAACCCCACCCCCTTTCTTTCCTTCTTTCACATGGCTCACCCCTACTCTTTTGTCACCTCTTTGGGATGCCTCCTGACACCCAGGCAGGGTTGGGCACCTCCCCTGGGCTCCCACAGCGCCTTCCCCGCCCCATGTTTCTACTGCATCACTTCTAGCCCCTGTGCCAGGCCTGCGTGTTTCCTTTTTGCATCCCAGAGTCTGTTCGAGGTACACAGAAGGTGCTCAGTGAATGTTTTCTGGGTCCCAGGCTCCCTGCTGTGCTGTCCAGTGCAGTCTCAGTCAGTCCGCCCCTCTGCCTGGGTGGTATGATTGTCTTTCCTGTTCTTCAGAGGCTTGGCGAGGTGAAGTGACTTGCCCAAGGTCGCATAGTCGGCTAGTGGCCGAGGGGATTTGCACCACTGTCTCTTGGGCCCCAGGTCCAGTCTCCAAGAGAGGGAGTTGGCCCTGCCATCTAGAGCCAGAGAAGCCCTTTCAGTCTGCTCTGCCTGAGAACACTTAAAACCACCCAAGCATATGAGGATGGTGTCTATTTTTAAAGTCCAAATACCAGGAAGGCTGGGTCCTGCTGACCAACTGTCCAGGTGCCCATGTGGCAGAGTATTTCAGCTGAGTTGCCTCTAGGATTTCTCTGGAATGAAACTGAAACTGTGTCCTCTGGCTTCTGGAGGCAGGTGGCGACAGCAAGTGGGGGTCCCAGGCAGGGTGAAGGAAACCTTTGATCCATGTTGTCCCTCTTTGGGCAGGAGGCTGCTCAGTTCCCACTCAGACTCCAGCAGCCAGATGGATAAACTGGGGAGTCTTGCAGGAATTCCCAAATCATTTTTTGAAAACATAATAGTAATTGTTGAGGAGCCGGGAGACCTGACTGGTGGGCGGAGACTCTTCCCAACTTGCTGTGTGTCCTTGGACAGCTCCTACAGCCCCTCTGAGCCTGGTTTTCCCATCTGCCTCATGCGAAGAGCTGGTTGTCCTATTGAAACCTCCCAAGGATGTTATGAAGTGGAGCAAAGAATATTCCCCTTTCATAGGTGGGAAAAATGAGACTCCAGAGAGGGGTCAGTTGCCTAAGTTCACCTAGAATAAATGAAGCCAAACTTCAGTGCTAAAGCTCTTATCTACCAAATTACATGCTTTACATCCCCCACTGCCACCACCACATCCATGTACACAATACGGCTTTCTTTCTCTGTGAGCCGGGTATTTGCAGGAACTCGGGGGTGTTTGAAATGCTGAGGCATCTCTCGGAAGGGTTGGTTTCTGAGTTCGGGTTTCCACACGCTGCTTGGCTGTCAGGGGCTGGCTCTCTCCCTCCTTTCCCTCCTTCCCTCGCCCTGCCTCCCAGGCCCTCTCCAGAACTATTCTTTGCTGGGTCTGGAGTCCCAGGGATGAACACGATGGGCCCTTGTGAGTTCACAATCTAATGAGGAGACACACTGGTGACCAAGCTTGTAATGAAGTTTGAGGAGTGCTGTGATGAGGAGTGCAGAGTGCTCTCACAGAAATCTATCCAGGGGAGCCAAGCATGATTAGAGACTGTGGGTTGGGGATAGGGCACAGTGGTCAGAGAAGTCATCCCTGAGGCTGGGCCATTTGAGCTGGGCCCTTGACAGTCGAATAGGAGTTCAACAGAGAAGAAAGAGGGGGGGCAGGAGGCTCATCTTAGGCAAAGGAACACATTCCTTCAGTTTCCGGGGTGAGCTGGGTCACCATGAACTGCAGCAGAAATGCAGCTTAGAGATCCTGGCTGCCATCTCGGAATGTCCCCTCAGCCGGGCAGACCTAGGAATGCATATGCCTACCCCACGCCTTGGCCTGGCTCAACTGCAAACCTTCTCCTTCATCTTACCTTGGCTGCATCTGCAATGAGGAGGCCCAGAGGTGGGCACAGTCAGTCCTGCCACTCCCTCCTGGCCTCCAGCCCAGCCTCCTTCCTTTCAGCAGCTTGAGGCTAATCCCAGCTGTTAAAAATAAACAGCAGTGACAAAGACCAGTGCCTTCCCGGTAACAGGGCGCTGGGGGCCTCCCCGTGACATCATGCAGCAGGTCTGAACCTGCAAAGATGAGGCTAGAATCCCGACTGTGATCAATTTTGCCACAGGAGGCTTGGGAGGGGTGGGGGAGGCTCTTGTTAACAGAGCAAGCTCAAGCCCAAAAGCAAGGCTGGTGTGAGGAGGCAGAGTGGCCTGGTGGGTCACCAAAAGCTGGAGGCTTTCTCTGGGGCTGCCACTGTCTGGCCCTGACTTTGCCGCATCTCTCCTTGCCGCTCTGGCCTTCTCCAGTCTGTCCTCATAAGTGCCTGCGGGAGCCAGTGAACAGGTGCAGTGGGCCTGGTGGGGACCTGGTGGACTGGAGAGAGTGTCCTACCTAATGAGGGCAGCCATGCCTTGACCAGCCAGTTATTGTCACCAGGGGATGTTGGCCCAGTTGTATCCAAATACTCTATTTTCAAGAGAATCTGGAAATCACAACTTTTACATCAACCTTCCCAGTTTCCCAAATGCTGATAAATCAGATTTTTGAAAAACATCTGCAAGGTGGACACAGCCGAGGGCTGCCAGCGTAAGGCTGCTCTGCCTTCTTAATCTTGGCAGGAGCAGTGCTCCATGATGCCCTTGCAGCCCCAGCTCATGGCCTTCCAACTCAAGACTCCCACTGCAGTTTTCATTACCCGGGACACAGCATCAGGCTGCACAGATCTGCCCACCTGTGGGTGGGCAGCACTTGGCTCTGATGCCCACCCTGGACCAGGGAGCCATGGCTGTGGACTGGTCAGCTGTTGACACTAGTGTCTAAGATGTGCTTGTGGCCCATCAGCATGGCCTAGTGCAGTAGTTCTCAGGGTAGGGTCCCCACCCCCAGGAACTTGTTAGAGATGAAAATTCTTGGGCCCCGTCTCAGACCTGATCCCAGAAACCCTGGGGATGGGGCCCAGCAGTGTCTAACAAGCCTTGTGGGTGATTCTGATGTCAGCTAGAGTTTGAGAACCACTGGTCTAAAGGCAGGGGCTGAGTGGGTTCTCTGAGGTGGGGGTGGGCAGGGCTAGCCCCACTCCACCTGTCTGGTAGAGAGGTGTCTGTTCGACCTTCTAGCATGAAAGAGAGGTGAATGATGTAACATGCCATTATAATGAAGTGCTACTTACTGAATGCTCATTGTATGCTAAGGCCATCACATACGTTCTTTCATTTTAACTTCCATATAACCCCGCAAGGCAGGTGCTATTCTTATCCCCCCCTTTTTTTTTCTGACAGGTAAACTAGGGCTCTGAGAGGTGAAGTGACATGCCCAAGTTCACATTTACATAAATGGCAGAAGCAGGAGCCACCAACCTCAAAGAACTCAGCATTTGGCCAGGGTGCTGTACCACTCATAGTCTGCCACCATGTGGCAGCTGGTGCCTTACACATGGGTCTCCTTGTAGCCCGACCATGCCTACAGTGCAGATAATCTACTTGCCCTTGAATCTTTGTATCAAGGTCTGCTTCTGGGGGAATGCTGAGATACCTCCCAAATTATTGGGGCCTGGAGCTGCTCAGTAATCCTCCTCTGCCCTCACGCCCAGGTTCATGGCCACCAGTGACCTGATGTCAGAGCTGCAGAAGGACTCCATCCAGCTGGACGAGGACAGCGAGCGCAAGGTGGTAAAGATGCTGCTCAGGCTCCTGGAGGACAAGAATGGCGAGGTGCAGAACCTGGCCGTCAAGTGGTGAGTTTTGGCCTCGGTATGGATGGGACAAGGCCAGGTGTGACAGAACCCCAGGGATCCCTGCCTCTTTGGGGTGCAGCTTCTGATAGAATAGTTGCTGAGCAGCTCTTGAAGGCCCAGAGGAGGTGGACAGTGCCGTGGTCTGGATTTCCCCAGAAGTCGACCCGGTGACAAGGATTCAAGTGTAAGTTTATTTGGGAAGTGATCTCAGAAAACTCCAGTAGGAGAATAGGGAAATGAGGTAGGGAAGGAAGAAAACCAATAAGGTGTGAAATATCAAGCAAGATACTGCTGTGGGCAGATGGAGCTTAACCCTACTGGGGGCCTTTGGGACACAGTTGTAGTGGACGCCCTATGGAGTTTTCCACCCGCCAGCTGTCAAGTCCTGTTGAGGCTGTTCCCAAGGTAGCATGGAGGGTTATGTATCCCATGACGCCTCCAGCCAGAGAAAGCCCTGAGGTACACATGCAGGTGCTAGCAGCTGGAAGGTCATGTTGGCATGCAGAAGAGTGGTGAGAGCTGAAGGGACAGGGGGCCCCAAAAGTCTTTGCCCTCGGCACTATGAGGTTACAGTCCTGAGACCGTGGAGAGTACCTTTAGAGCTAAAAAAGCAAGATGAGGTATGTGCAGGGCACACGTGTGTGTAGGTGGAGGATTGAGGAATGGCAGGGGTCAATGAGAATTGGGGCATTGCCTCTCGAACTCTGTGAGCTGAGCCCAGGCATTCTGGGTCGTCTTAATGAATTTCAATTTGATCCTAAGAGCAGAGGGAATTCAGTAGAGTTTTATGCAGGAACATGACGTGGTCATGTTTGTCGTCTGGAAGCATCCCTCTGGCCATGCAGTAGCGATAAGATAGGGTGGATGGTGGTTTCCCAGTAGCAGAACCAGTAACACAGTAGCATGTGTTCGGTATGTAAATGCTTGGGCCCGTTGACTGAAGTGATAAAGTCATGAGAAGCCTGTTCTAAATGTAGGCTCATTGTGGGTGCCATGGCAGTTGGTAGGTAGAGACAGGTATGGATGCTGGGGACTCAGATACCACAAGCAGCGTTGCTCTTAGTGACACGATTTTCTGAAACGGTGAACATCTCCTGGTAGTTTCCCAAAAAACCAAGTACAGTCTTCCTTTAATTTACCTACACAATTATATGCTTGGAAAATTTAGAGTCTATTAAAATAGTATAAAAAGTACTTTGTGTTTATATGTAAATTGAAAGTAGATTTTGGACTCAGATAATTATAGAAAGGTTTTATTTTTCCTATACGAATGCCCAGTGGGATGTTAGAACACATCCAGCAGGATGTGAAACATGTTCTGTTTTGCAATATTGTCTTTCCCAGCCACCCCCCACCCCCAAAATAAAAGCCAGAAGCGACATCTTATTAGTTACAATGACCAAAAAAGGCCCCCATAAATTTCCAGAACACCCCTGAGGGCACTGCACCCCAATCAGGAACTATGAGAGGTGGAAACGGGAACCCTATGATTACTTAGATGGAAGAACTGATGGAGAAAAACATCAAGAGAGTCAGGGTTTGCAAACTGGTATGCATTGGAGTATCCTGGGACCCTTGTTGAAGCTATATATTCCCCAGGGATTCAGATTCAGGACTGGGAGGGGTGGGGAGAGGAGGCTGAGGTAGGCAGATGAGAAGGCAGCACCTGGGAATCTGCATTCTAATGAACACCAACATCTCAGAACCACTCATTTAGGTCAGAGGTTCTCAACCTTAATGGCACAGTAGAATCACCTAGGGAATTAAAAAAAAAAAAAAAACCCTGCCAATGTCCAGGCCACACCTGAAAACCAATTAACTCAGATTCTCTGGGGCTAGCACCCAGGTGACAATTTTTTAAAGGTCCCAGGTGATGGCAATGCACAGTTAAGGCTGAGAACTGGTATGTCTAGTGTACCTATTTTTATTTATTTATTTATTTTATTTTTTTTTTTTTTTCAACGTTTATTTATTTTTGAGACAGAGAGAGACAGAGCATGAACAGGGGAGGGGCAGAGAGAGAGGGAGACACAGAATTGGAAACAGGCTCCAGGCTCTGAGCCATCAGCCCAGAGCCTGACGCGGGGCTCGAACTCACAGACCGTGAGATCGTGACCTGGCTGAAGCTAGCCGCTTAACCGACTGCGCCACCCAGGCGCCCCATAGTGTAGCTATTTTTAAATTTCAATGTGGATTCAAATCACCTGGGGCCTTTGTTGAAATGCAGATTCTGGTTCAGTAGCCCTAGGGTAGGACCTGAGATTCTGCGTCTCTGACAAGTTCCGGGTGATGCTGATGACACTCATGATGCTGATCTGTGACTACAATAGGCAAAGCAATGCTCTAAGGCAGAGGTTCTCGAAGTGTGGTCCCTGGACCACCAGTATCAGCATCTACTGAGAACTTACTAGAAATGTAAATTTTCAGGCCCCATCTAGACCTTCTGAATCTGAACATCTGGGGTGGGCCCAGAAGTCAGTTTTAACAAGTCCTTCAGTAGATTCTCATACACGCTCAAGTTTGAGAACTGCTGCTCTCAGGCATTCCTTGGTTTCCAGCTGAGGTTACTGGGTTCACTGGTTTGGCCATACACTGAGATGCAAAACCCAGGAGGTGGTGCAGGTTTGGGAGGTGCCAGGAATGATGTTGGCAGAGCAATAGGGTGCCTCTCCTTCTGGCCAAATAGGGAGTCCCCTGTCGATCTGGAGCCTTTTCCTCAGCACATGTGGCCCTGTGGGCCTGAGGGGACCCTAAGGAGCAGCGTGACTCAGGCTGAGCCTGGGGCTTTTGGACCCCATCCCTCCCTCTCTCCCTACTCAGCCTGGGTCCTCTGGTGGGCAAAGTGAAGGAGTACCAGGTGGAGACCATCGTGGATGCCCTCTGTGCCAACATGCGGTCAGATAAGGAGCAGCTCCGAGACATCGCTGGCATCGGCCTAAAGACTGTCCTGTCGGAGCTCCCCCCCGCAGCCACAGGTACCCAGGCCCCAGAGATTAGGCACTATCATCATTTGTGCTACTTTACAGTTAAGAAACTGGGGCTCAGAGAGTTGAAGGGATTTACCTAAAACCAGCCAGCTAGTAGGTGGCAGAGAATTCAGACCCAGCTCTGTTTAACTTCATGGCTCTGTGTCAGGAATGCTTTAGCTTCGAGTAACAAAATCTAATGACAGCTTGAAGAAGTACAGCGTTGCTTTTCTCACATAATTCTGGAGAGATCAGCCATTCCACTTTTGTAGGAATTCATTTAGCAGGTCAATTAGGACAGGGTGAGGTCTCTGCCTGTGTCTTTTGTCTTTTATAAGGAAAGCACATGTTTCTCCAGAAGCCCTCAGAAGTCTTCTACCTATAGCTCACTGGCCAAAACATGGTCACTTGGCCCCTGCTAAGAGCAAGAGCATTTAGGAAAGGAGCTTCTCCTTAGTTAGAAGGTAGAAGACAGAGGGGTTGGATATGGGGTGAATCAGCCAACAGGTCAACCATCAGTTCAGCTTCCTTAGCCAACCCCCTTTAGTTCTTTCAGACTCTGGGTCAAACCTTGGACCACATAGGGTCAGCAGGATTCTCAGGAATGTGAGCTCAGGAACATAATGACAGCAAAGGCTGACCAGAGGTGGAAGCCAGCCCTAGCCTCACTGTGCTATGCTTTTGCTCCGTGCAGGCTCTGGCCTGGCTACCAACGTGTGCCGGAAGATCACCGGCCAGCTCACCAGTGCCATTGCCCAGCAAGAGGATGTGGCTGTGCAGTTGGAAGCCCTGGACATCCTCTCTGACATGCTGAGCAGGTACAGGAGGCCACCCTGGGCAAGGAGGACCGGGAGAGGGTGGCGAGGGGACAGAGAGGGACTCAAATCCACAGAGCCGGCACTCACTGCACACCATGCTCTGTGCTTGGGGTCCCTTACTTGTCCTGGCAGCCCTAGGAAGGAGAGCTCCTTCGTCTCAATTCTGTAGTCTCTGTCTCTGCCCAAAGTCACTGTCAGCACCAAGGTAACAGTAAATGGCAGACCCTGGGGTTGAATTCAGGTCTCTCCAAGCCCTGAAGCCTGTATATGTTCATCCTCTCTCTCACCCCTTTCTTTCTCTTTTTCTTCTTTGGGGTGATATAGCTGAGCCTTTGTTTATTTTTAATTTACATCCAAGTTGGTTAGCATATAGTGCAATTATGATTTCAGGAGTAGATTCCAGTGATTCATCTCCTATGTATAACACCCAGTGCTAACCCCAAGTGTCTTCCTTAATGCTCCTTACCCATTTAGCCCCTCCTCCCACTCACAACCCCTCTAGCAACCCTCAGTTTGTTCTCTGTATTTAAGAGTCTGTTTTGTCCCCCTCCTTTTTATATTATTTTTGCTTCCCTTCCCTTATGTTCATCTGTTTTGTATCTTAAAGTCCTCATATGAGTGAAGTCATATGATATTTGTCTTTCTCTGACTAATTTCATTTAGCATAATACCCTCTAGTTCCATTCACATAGTTGCAAATGGCAAGATTTCATTCTTTTTGATTGCTGAGTAACACTCCATTGTGTGTGTGTGTGTGTGTGTATATATATATATATATACACCACATCTTTACCATTCCCCCATCAATGGACATTTGGGCTCTTTCCATACTTTGGCTATTATTGATAGTGCTGCTATAAACATGGGGTTGCATGTGCCCCTTTGAAACAGCACACCTGTATCCCTTGGAAAAATACCTAGTAGTGCAGTTGCTGGGTCGTAGGGTAGTTCTACTTTTAATTTTTTGAGGAATCCCCATACTGTTTTCCGGAGTGGCGGCCCCAGTTTGCATTCCCATCAGCAGTGCAAAAGGATCCTCTTTCTCCGCATCCTCGCCAACATCTGTTGTTGCCTGAGTTGTTAATGTTAGCCATTCTGACAGGTGTGAGGTGGTATCTCATTGTGGTTTTGATTTGTATTTCCCTGATGATGAGAGATGTTGAGCATTTTTTCATGTGCCGGTTGGCCATCTGGATGTCTTCTTTGGAGAAGTGTCTATTCCTGTCTTCTGCCCATTTCTTCACTGGATCATTTGTTTTTTGGGTGTTGAGTGGATAAGTTCTTTAAAGATTTTGGATTCTAACCCTTTATCTGATGTGTCGTTTGTAAATATTGTCTCCCATTCCGTTGGTTGCCTTTTAGTTTTGCTGATTGTTTCCTTTGCTGTGCAGAAGCTTTTTATTTTGATGAGGTCCCAATAGTTCATTTTTGCTTTTGTTTCCCTTGCCTCCAGAAACATGTTGAGTAAGAAGTTGCTGCGGCCGAGGTCAAAGAGGTGTTTGCCTGCTTTCTTCTCTAGGATTTTGATGGCTTCCTGTCTTACATTTTAGGTCTTTCATCTGTTTTGAGTTTATTTTTGTGTATGGTGTAAGAAAGTGGTCCAGGTTCATTTTTCATGTCTCTGTCCAGTTTTCCCAGCACCACTTGCTGAAAAGACTGTCTTTACTCCATTGGATATTCTTTTCTGCTTTGTCAAAGATTAGTTGGCCATATGTTTGTGGGTCTGTTTCTGGGTTCTCTGTTCTGTTCCATTGATCTGAGTGTCTATTTTTGTTGGGCCTGTATTTTAAATTGTATTGCACATTTTAAAACCATTCATTCACCCTTTAAGACTTGAGCACCTACTCCACCACCCAGAAAAATGTCAGGTGCTGAACTGGTACTGGGAATGTGGAGATGGAGGAGTCTGGGGCACTGTTGGGAAGGAGCTCACAGACACATAAACTAAGGGGAGTAAGAATAACAGTAAGGAAAAGAGCAGAGTCTTTAGGAGCTCAGAGGAGGAGCCCCTAACCTGGATGGGGGTAGGGAACCTTCCTAGAGAGGGTCCTGCTAGCTGAGCCTTCAAGGATGGGCAGGACTTGTCCAGTATTGGGTGGGCATAAAGGGGACCCTGGTAGGAGAGACTGCCTTCGGCCCAGAGGCTGGAGAAGACATAGGGTCCTGGGGGTTGTGCAGCATAGGTGTGGCGCTCGGGTGTAATGTGGAGAGGGCTGGGCCAGAGCTTAGATCACACTGAATGTGTGAGGAGTGGGGTGGTGGTCAGGGCAGGGGTCCAGGAATGCCTTGTGTATATTTGTGTGCTTCAGACTCCTCTTCCTGTCTGCAGTGTGCATGGTGGATGGGAGGGGTTGAATGGGCAAGGAAACTGGTTAGGAGGCTTCTGCAGGCAGGTGAACTCAGGTTGTATTTAGTAGATAGACTCCACAGGGAAATAGACTTGGAGTGGGTCAGGGGCAAAGACTCAAAGATGACACCCAGGCGTTTGGCTTTACTAAGTGGGGGCCCAGACATAGGGCCATTGGCTGTGGTGGGGTGCACTCTGGGAACAAGGAGCAGGTGTGTGGGGAAGAAGGTGATGGATTCATTTGGGCATGTTGAATCTGAAGTGCCTGGGAGGCACCCACTCAACCAAAGACTCCATGAGGGCAGGCCCTAGGCTCACCTGAGCTCCCAGCACAGGCCCTATGACATTGTAGGTGAACAAATAAATAAATGAAATCCAGCGAGCTGGCCTGGATATGAGAGCGTGAGGTCAATGTGCTTGTGTGGAGTGAGAGAAGAAAAGGTCTCAGGATATGTGGGGGACAGAAAATGCACAGGCCTGTTTGGAGGTGAGGATAGAAGCTGCTGAAGTGAGCAGGGGCTGTATTCTACCTGCGCATTCTCTGGTTTTGCCTCTTGCCTTGATCTCAGAGCTCAGCTTATCCAAAGGGCACTGGAGAGCCATTGAAGGAGTTAGGCAGTGGAGTGACCAGGTCAGAGGTAGGTTTTAGACCACTGTGATCTCAGTAAAGGGGATGGACGGTCAGGGTATTTGGAGAGTGTGCCTAGAGGCAAAGCCCAGACTCCCAAGGAAATCAGCCTCACTGGAGACACCCAGACTCTATTACTATCAAGCCTTCTCCCCAGGCTGGCAACCTGGACATCTGGATTCAACTCCTGGCCTTGTATTTCTTGGCTGAGTGGTCTTGAGAAAGTCCCTCCCCTCTCCTTCTCTTGTGTAATAAGAATAAATAATTACTCCACACAGTTGCAGGGCGCCTTTCCTTATACCAAGGCCCATTGGGTTGTCATAATTCTGGCGAGGAGGTCAGGAGAGGATTGGGGGAAGGAGACCTGCCTGGCCCAGGTTGCCCTCTGGGTGGGCCCCGTCCGACGTCCCCTCCGACTCCCCAGGTTGGGCGCCCCTCTGGGTGCCTTCCATGCCAGCCTCCTGCACTGTCTGCTGCCGCAGCTGAGCAGCCCACGCCTGGCCGTGCGCAAGCGGGCAGTCGGGGCACTCGGCCACCTGGCGGCCGCCTGCAGCACCGACCTCTTCGTGGAGCTCGCTGACCACCTGCTGGATCGGCTGCCCGGCCCGCGTGCGCCCGCCAGCCCCGCCGCGATCCGCACTCTGATCCAGTGTTTGGGTAGCGTCGGCCGACAGGCAGGCCACCGTCTCGGTAAGGGGGTGGAGCCCCTCTGTAAGGGGGCGGGGCCGAAGTGGGGAGATGCCGCGGGGCCTGGGGCGGACTGCAGCCTAGGTAAGGGGGTGTGGCTCAGGCAGGGTCGGAACTGGGGAGAGGGGTGGGGCCGGAGTGTCAGCCTAGGTAAGGGAGCATGGCTAACATCTCAAAGGGGGAGGGCGGAGCTTGAGAGGCAGCGGGTGGGCCCTGAGCTCCACATGCTTCTGAGCCTTACCTACCTGTTATGAGTTTCCCGGGTAATTGTAAATCATGCCACCAAACTTAAATACAATATGTTCTATCGTCCTACTTTGACAGATATGCTATAGTAACAATCTATAAGCTGGGTTTGAATTTTTAAAAATTTTTGCTGGGGGATAAGGTACATACAGTAAACTGCACTATCTAAAGTGTACAATTAGGTGTGTTTTGACCTATGTGTACAGCTGTGAAATTACTACAGCAATAAAGGTACAGAACATTTCCATCACCCCCCAAAGTTTCTCTGTGCCCTCTTCCAGTCCGACCCTCCCTCTGCCCCACTCCAGGCAAGCACTGATCTGCTTTCTGTCACCAGAGTTTGCTTTATAGAAATGGAATCCTGCAGTTGGGGTTGAATTTATCTTCAAGCACGTCAGAGTTCTGGGCTGGAACAAGGCAGTGTGGGTAGAGTTGGCCACGGTCTACCCCTCCTTCCTCTCTGGCTCTCTCACTCCAGGGACTTTATGAACACACATGGGGAACACAGGCTGAAGTCCCATGCTCTGTCCACATCCTCTCTCAAACAACAGCTACCTGTTGGTCACTCTTGGGAGTATGAACCCAAGAAGGATGTCTGCACAGGGTCAGACTAGGGTTCATGGTCAATTGGGCAGGAAAATGAGAAAGGGTGTGACTGGAGAAGGGCTGGGACAGAACCCTTTAAAGAGGTGGGCACCTCTTGCCTGGTGCATAAGGGCAGTGCCTGCATTTCTGTTTTTCCCACCCAGGGCTACAGCCTAGTGCAGGAAATAAGAGGAGGGCATGAATAATAGTTTCAACAAGAGATGCTACTTGAGTGCCTCCCCTGTGCCAAAACTTAGGTGGAGCTCTTCATCTGCAACATGTCATTAATCTTCACAAAATCTCTGCCTGGTAGGCATTGCTGTCCCTACTGGGAAGATGAGTAGATGAAGCTCAGAGAAGTGTTGTGCTGTGTCCAAGGTTGCATAGGTCATAGGTGGCAGAGACAAGGCTAGAACCCACATCTGCTCAACTCTGAAGCTGCTGAGTTGAGTTTGCAGTGGCCAGGGCTGCAGGTGCAGGGACTAGCTGAGTGCTGTGGCCTGAGGGAGCCTGGGGATGGGTCTGGCCTGCCCTCAGTGATGCACCTGGCTCTCTAGGGGCCCACCTGGACCGCCTGATGCCCCTGGTGGAGGAATTCTGCAACCTGGATGACGATGAGCTCCGGGAGTCCTGCCTCCAGGCCTTTGAGGCCTTCCTGAGGAAGTAGGTGCAGTACGGGTGCCAGGAGAGGGGGGCCCACGGTTTCTTTGGGAAGTTGGTGGGGAAGGGGTGGGACAGGATGCTGGCCTCAAAGCACTAAGATCTCAGGACTCCCCACTGGGCCTACCTGCTACCCTGTCCTGCCTGTCCAGCAGAGCCTCCCCACTCTCACCCCAACAGATGCCCCAAGGAGATGGGTCCTCATGTGCCCAATGTGACCAGCCTCTGCCTCCAGTACATGAAGCATGACCCCAACTATAACTACGACAGTGACGAGGATGAAGAGCAGATGGAGACAGAAGACAATGAATTCAGTGAGCAAGGTGGGTGGCCAACTGGTCACTGGGGCTAGAAGGCGGAAATGGGTGCAGCTTTCCTGGGACACCCCCTCGGCCCCCCAGCCAGAGACAAGGCCACATCTGGCACCTCCACCGTGGTCTTAAGCCTTCCTCAGTCTCTAGCCCTGACCTCCATAATCTGGATTCCACAGGCCCCCACCCTCTGCACAGATCAAGGTAATGATAGTAATTGCTGTCATTTATTGAGCATCGACTGGTGTGCTGAGCATTTTCATTTCATGGTCATTCTAATAACCCTAGAAAACCAGGTGTTTATTATTATCCCCATTTAAAAAAATTTTTTTTAACGTTTATTTATTATTGAGAGACAGAGACAGAGCATGAGCATAGGAGGGGCAGAGAGAGGAGGAGACACAGAATCTGAAGGAGGTTCCAGGCTCTGAGCTGTCAGCACAGAGCCCGACGTGGGGCTCAAACTCACAAACCCAGCAAAATCATGACCTGAGCCGAAGTCAGACGCTGAACCGACTAAGCCACGCAGGTGCCTCTTATTATCCCCATTTTTTAGACAAGGAAACCCCGACTTCAAGTAGAGATTTGCCTGCGATAACACAGCTAGGAAGTGGCAAAACTGGGCTTGCAGTCTCCACCTCTATGCTGCCATATCTGTACCTGCTTAGTAACAGTTTCTAAGAGATGAAGCTTTCACCCAGCAGAGTGAAACTCTAGTAGTAGAATGATAGGTACTGGCAGGGGGAGAGAGATACCTGGATGGGGAATGGACGCAGTGGCTTTTTTCCATTCGTGCCCATGGTCCTAGCTGTCACTCAGACTGATGGCCCTGGGCCGGTAGGGCATTGATGGAGGCAAAGGACTTAGGGCCTGATCTCACTCAGGGTGAGATGGGATGGTAGGAGACAAGGTTGGACAGGCGTTTTGAAGCCCAAATGCCAAGCCAGGGAGGTTGAGCATTTTCTTGTCAGTAGCAGGGAGCTATGGATTTTTCTTCCTGGGTGGCATAGGGTGGAGATAACAAACAACGATCCATCTGAGGATATCTGCAGTGCTGATAGGACACATCCATGGGACCATCCACATGGCCCACTATGGCTTCTCCAGATGTCAGTGCTCTGAAAGTCTGAGTCATCTGCAGAGTGGCACGGATAGAACACACTGGATCTGTGTGTGTTACACACTAACTGTCCCTAGTTAGGACTGTCCCCTTCTTAGCCTCATGTGTGTCTTTCCAGATGTATGGGTGGACCTCGTGGGCCTGAATCTTAGCTCTATTGTTTCCTAGCTGTGTGTCCTCAGGAGAGTCTCTCACCCTCTCTGAGCCTTATTCTTGTCATCTATAAAATGGGGCTCAAGGCACCCTCATTCCTGAGGCGTGGTAAAGTACTTGATGAGGTCTGTACTTGGAGAGTAGAAAGCTTGAAGAGTAGAAAGTCACACAAACACAGCTTTTCCTTGTTAGTAGTCCTGCTTGGAAGCCAGAATCCGGACTTGAGAGGCTGGGGCCAGAGGTGGAGGAAGTGAGGAGGCCAAAGGGAGGCCCTGTCAACTGTCGTTTCTGGAATCCCAACAAGTGAAACATCACACAGCCAGTTCTGAAACCAAAGGATGGGTTTTGTGCCCCAAATGGATTGTCTTAAACTCTCACTGATGACTTGGAAGTTAGTTTTGTCCCTCATGTAGGCAAAACAATGAAGGGTCTGGAGACAAAGGGAGGATTCTGGTTTAACTCCAACTGTATCCCTGCTCATGTAACTTGGGGTGAGCCATTCCCCCCCCAGTTTCCACATTTCTACAGGGGCGAAATAATCCTTGTCTTACAAGATGGTTGTGAGGCTCAGATGAGGTTGTGGATCTGAAGTGCTTGGCACCACCTTTGGCACGCAGTAGGTGTTCACTAAATGGCAGGTAACATTCCTAATAGTGTGTAAATCAAAATTGAAAGATGAAACAGTCCTGACTCCCTCCTCCCTGCCCCCTCTCTTGTCACTTCCCCATCCTGCGAGACAGCCTGAGTGGGGCCAGGACACATGGGTGTCCTGTTCATGCCCCAGAGAGTGAGGACGAGTACAGTGATGATGATGACATGAGCTGGAAGGTGCGCCGGGCAGCGGCCAAGTGCATGGCCGCCTTGATCGGCTCTCGGCCCGACCTGCTGTCTGACTTCCACTGCACCCTGGCGCCTGCACTCATCCACCGCTTCAAGGAACGCGAGGAGAATGTCAAGGCTGACGTCTTCGGGGCTTACATTGTGTTGCTGCGGCAGACACGGCCCCCAAAGGGGTGGCTGGAGGCCATGGAGGAGCCCACCCAAACAGGCAGCAACCTGCATATGCTGCGCGGCCAGGTGGGCATGCCTCCTCCTGTCTCCCATCCTTGCTCCTGCACTCATGACTCACCCTCCCACCTGCTCACCCTTCCATCCCTCCACCACCGCACCATCTGTCCACCCAGTGAGATGTGTGCACTGAGCACCCACTGTGTGTCTGGCCCTGTGTTAGGTGCTGAGTATAGTGGGGAGCATGGCAGGTGAAGGCCTGGCCCCCTGAACCACACAGGGTAGGGGCAGATAGACAACCCAAATAGGGCTTCCAGCCCCCTAAGAAGGAGTTTCAGTTTTATTCGAAGAGCCTAGAAGCCACAGGAGGGGAATTACAGGATCCCATTCCCATTTGAAGGAGCTCACTCTGGTTGCTGTGTGGGAAATGAATTGTCACAGGGAGGGAAAGAATAGATGCTGGAGGCCAACAGGAGGCCGTTGCTGCTGTCCAGGTGAAAGGAATGGCACTTCGGGCTGGGGGTAGGGGCAAGAGGAGTGGTCAGACTGGAGGAGTAGTATTTGGGTCTTGATGTCAAATTGGATGTGAAGGGTGAGGGACAGGAAGGTGTCTATGTGAGTTCCAGGGTCTGGCTAAAACATGGGCTGCAGTTCCTTGACCTGGTGGAGAAGGGAATATCTAGAGTTCCGTTCTGGACATTTAAGGTTCCAGGTCCTCGGATGCCCACGTTGAGGTCAGACAGGCAGTTAGCACATGAATCTGGTGTTGGAGATGGAGATCTGGGAGTCTTTGCTTCACTGGAATCTGAAGCTCGGTGAACAGATGGGCTCCTCTGGAGAGAGAATCTACCCAGGGAAGGGAAAGGGGCCTCCTTGCTTCCCCCTTATGGAGTGTATGGGTGAGAGCCAGACTGCCAGGTGACCTTGAGCAAGTCACTTAACCTCTCTCTGCCTGTTCCCTATCCGTAAAGAGAGCCTAGGAATAGTTCCTACCACAGAGGGTCTGTGTATGGAGCGAGGGATGGAAAGCTTGAGATGGAGTGATCATCTCACACTGGGGGTCCTCCATGGGCATGTGCCCCAGCAAAGCTCCCCAGTAGTCGGTGGGACACCCTGGTTCCCTGGGTGGTCACGTTTCTCCTTCAAACTGCCCACAGGTGCCTCTCGTGATCAAGGCCCTGCAGCGGCAGCTTAAGGATCGGAGTGTCAGGGCCCGCCAGGGCTGCTTCAGCCTCCTCACCGAGCTGGCAGGCGTCCTCCCTGGCAGCCTGGCAGAGCACATGCCTGTGTTGGTAGCAGGTAGGATGGACTACAGCCAGGTATCTCTCAGCCTGGGCTCTTCCAGAACCCAGACCCCAGGCCTCAATCCCCATGGGTAACCTGTTCAGCAGCCTATGGTGGCTCCCCACTGCCAGCGGTGAGAACAAAGCTGGGGTGCAGGCCCTTCTTTCTGGTTTCAGGGGGGTTTCCTGGCCTTGTGTCCCTCAGCCCTGGCCAAGCCCTGATTTTTCAGGATCTGCAACATAAGAGCCCTGGGGCCTGGGTCCAGCTTACATGCCTGCCGGTGCTCCACCCCCATATCCAGAGATTGCCTGGGGCTCCATAACCTTTGCACCCACCCCACAGGCATCGTCTTCTCTCTGGCGGACCGTTCCAGCTCTTCCACCATCCGGATGGATGCCCTGGCCTTCCTGCAGGGGCTGCTGAGTACAGAGCCAGCTGAGGCCTTCCATTCACACCTGCCGACCCTCCTGCCACCTGTGATGGCCTGCGTGGCTGACCCTTTCTACAAGATCGCAGCTGAGGCCCTGCTGGTGCTCCAGGAGCTGGTGCGGGCCCTGTGGCCACTGGACAGGCCTCGGACGCTGGACCCTGAGCCATATGTTGGAGAAATGTCTGCAGTCACCCTAGCACGGCTCCGTGCCACTGACCTGGACCAGGAGGTGAAGGAGCGCGCCATTGCCTGCATGGGCCACCTTGTGGCCCACCTGGGTGACCGGCTTGGGGATGACCTACAGCCATCGCTATTGCTCCTTCTGGACCGCCTGCGGAATGAGATCACCCGGCTGCCTGCTGTCAAGGCACTGACGCTGGTGGCCTCGTCCCCGTTGCGGCTTGACCTGCAGCCCATCGTGGCTGAGGCACTGCCCATTCTGGCCTCGTTTCTGCGAAAGAACCAACGGGCACTGCGCTTGGCCACACTGGCTGCCCTGGATGCCCTGACCCAGAGCCAGGGACTGAGCCTCCCTCCGTGTGCTGTGCAGGCCGTGCTGGCCGAGCTGCCTGCCCTGGTCAGTGAGAACGACATGCATGTGGCTCAGCTGGCTGTGGACTTCCTTGCCACGGTGACCCAGGCCCAGCCGGCCTCTTTGGCCAAGGTCAGCGGCCCTGTGCTCTCAGAGCTGCTGCGGTTGCTACGCTCACCCCTGTTGCCAGCAAGTGTGCTGGCAGCTGCTGAAGGCTTCCTGCAGGCCCTGGTGGGGACGCGCCCCCCGTGCGTGGACTACGAGGAGCTCATCAGCATGCTCACTGCGCCTGTTTACGAACAGGCTGCGGACGGCGGGCCGGGCCTGCACAAGCAGGTGTTCCACTCTCTGGCTCGGTGTGTGGCAGCCCTTGCGGCCGCTTGTCCCCAGGAGGCGGCAGGCACGGCAAACCGCCTGGTCTGCGATGCCAGGTCGCCCCACTCGAGCACAGGGGTCAAGGTCCTGGCTTTCCTGTCACTGGCTGAGGTGGGCCAGGTGGCCGGGCCAGGCCCCCAGCGGGAGCTGAAGGCAGTGCTCCTGGAAGCCTTGGGGTCACCCAGTGAGGACGTGAGGGCGGCCGCCTCCTATGCGCTGGGCCGCGTGGGCGCCGGGAACCTGCCTGACTTCCTGCCCTTCCTGCTGGGGCAGATCGAGGCTGAGCCCCGGCGGCAGTACTTGCTGCTGCATTCGCTCAGGGAGGCCCTGGGGGCCGCCCAGCCCGACAGCCTGAAGCCCTACGCCGAGGACATCTGGGCCCTGCTGTTCCAGCGCTGTGAGGGTGCCGAGGAAGGCACCCGGGGGGTGGTGGCTGAGTGCATCGGCAAGCTGGTCCTCGTGAACCCTCCATTCCTTCTGCCCCGATTCCGGAAGCAGCTTGCTGCAGGTAGGGGCACAGGTGTGGGCAAAGGCAGTCCAGATCAGAGGTGGGCAGTTTCTCCCAAGTGGCTCACTCACAGGGAGCTAATTCAAGTGATTAGATCTGAAGAGTCTTGGTGTGGATAAGGCAAAGGCAGAGAAGCCATTAAAAACACAGTGTTTCCTGAGACGTGTAGGCCCTCTCCTGGGGGCTCTCTGGGATGGAGGAGCCAGAATCCTTAATACGTCCCTACAAAAAATAAGTTTTTCATGATGCAGCCTTCATACTCCTTGGTGTGGACAGCAGCCTCATGCTCCAGGCACAAGTTAATAAAAGGAGTTCTTGGCCTGCAGGGAGTGCAGCTCTCTTGGGTTTGTTTGAGCCAGGAGCAAATGTCAGTATAGACTAGGTAGGACCGGGGGCCATACTCGTAGGGTTTGGGGAGGGTCCAGCAAAAACCAGGGGCAGGTTTTGTGTGGTTCGGTAAGGGCACGTCAGGGCTCTCTGAAACTCAGAGAGGAAGAAAGCAGACAGGTGGGGCTGTGGGGCTCTTGGATAAGTGAAAGCCCCTGGGAATGAAAGGCCTCCAGGCCTTGAGCTGGCCAGCTGCTCCTCTGAGAGAGTCAGAGGGTGTATTTATTCACATAACGTAGGCAAAGTGCTTGGTATAGCATATGGTATGTAATTAATACTAAGTAAAAACTGCTGTTGTTATGTTCGTGATCACAGTTAAGCCCTCACTGGGCTGCTGGGTTTATAAGAAGCAGCTTGGTGGCTCACACCACTGCATGGACGAGAAGAACGTGTTGAGGACATTGCCTGTTACACTCACAGGGCTCTTCACAAGGAAGCTTGAGGGGCCAGAGTCTCAGGATATGAGGAGCAGCCCCGCCATTTCCAAGCCCTGATTCACTTCTGCCTCATGCACCCTGTTGAACTAGTTAAGCGGTCACATTGCCTTTTTACCACCAACTGCCTGGAAGCTTAGAGCCAGACTCATGGCCTGCTTCCAGCAAGTTCATGGGACTTCCTAGGTGGCTCAACCTGCCCTCACTCTAGTCTTCCTTTCACTTCCTTGCCTGTGTTTTTCCTTGGCCTCGTTTTTCTCATTTAAAAAAATTTTTATTAATGTTTTTATTTATTTTTGAAGGAGTGAGAGAGACAGCATGAGCGGGAGAGGAACAGAGAGAGAGGGAGACGCAGAATTTGAAGCAGGCTCCAGGCTCTGAGCTGTCAGCACAGAGCCGGATGCAGGGCTCAAACCCATGAATCGTGACATCATGACCTGAGCTGAAGTCGGAAGCTTAACTGACTGAGCCACCCAGCCACCCCTCGTTTTTCTTATCTTAAATTCACTTAATCCTGTTCTGTTGTCCATGTCTTCATGAGCCACACTGAATCTTGTCATAAGCCAGTCAGGATAGAGAGAGAAAGAGGAAAGAACTGTTAAGTCTCAAGTCAGTAGCTCTTTTCCGTTTTCACACCTTGGCACCAAAGTGTAAACTTTCTTCTGACTCGAATGTAAGGGCTAAATGAGGGAAACAACCTTAACCCCTCACTGTTGGGTGTTGAGGTAGAGAGGAGGGAGCAGCTGCTGGGTTCTTTGTTTCACCGTAATGGGAAGTGTATTCCCCACCCCTTTTTCAGCCTCTGTATTCAGAAAGCAAGCGGAAAAGTAAATTTAAGTAACTTCTCCATTCCCAAGCTTTCGGGATGTTCTGAGTTCTGTTGGAATCCCCTTGGCCTTCAGCTTGCCTGGAGCACACTGCCGCCTGCTTAGAGAATGCAGGCCTGAGGAGGAGGGCCCAGCCAGGGCTCAGATTCAGCCGTTGAATTCTGGATCTGCTGTGTGACCTTAGATATGAACTTAACCTTTCTGGGTTTTTTTCCTCATCTGTAAGTCAGAGATTAATAATGATTTTTATGAAATGTTTTGATTTATATTACCATTTATTGTTAATCAATAGGACCATCCTGAGGATAATGTGTCTGAAAAGTAGAACACAGCCCCAAGGCCTGAGCAAAGGTCTTTCTTTGGACTATGGATTGACCACTGTCTTGGGTTCTTGATTCCCTGTGTGCATCCTGCAGTGTGGTTACCTGAGAACTGGGAGTTTTCCTCTCAGCCACCACAGGAGAATTTAGGGATGCATTTTAGACTGCCAAGGGAAAGGGCATTGACTTCACCAAAGATGGGTGTTTTGAATGGGGAGGGGTCCAGTTCTGTCTCCCAGGGAGGCAGAGAGCCTCAACACCTTCTGACCTGTGTCTCAGTTTCCACATCTGTAAAATGGGGGTGAGAAACCCTTAACTGTAGGTTCTAAGGTTGATTCAGAGACCCCGTCATTTACCGAGTGTCTAGGATTGTCCCTGCCGCTTACCAAGCTGATGCCTCTTGTCCTGCAGGTCGGCCACACACACGGAGCACTGTCATCACAGCAGTCAAGTTCCTCATCTCTGACCAGCCCCATCCCATTGACCCCCTCCTGAAGAGCTTCATCGGTGAGCACCCCCACTCCTCTACCCCCGGCCCCACTCGTCCCCTCCTCCCAGCCTTTGAGTCCAGGCTGATTTTTCTTACACATTAGCTAAGGGGAGTCTGAGGCCCAGGAGGCTACCTCACCCCTATGATGGGCAGCAGGCCCTGGTGCAAATCCCTGTGCTGCCACTGAATTGTTGGGTGAGCCTAACATGCCCCTTCTTACCTCTGAGCCTCATTTCCTCATCTGTAAAGTGTAAGGGGGTGAGAACCCTTATCTGCAAGTTCTAAGTTGATTCAGAGGCCCCATTTTTTATTGGGGGGAAGGTACTCCATGAACACACAGTCTCTTACATGTGGAAAACCACCAGCCTCTCACGTGCATTGGCTTCGGTGGGCTTCAAGCTAGGTAGAGCTCTACTGGAATTGGGGAGAGTGGCTCCCAGCTCATGCCCTGTCTTAGGAGTCTTCTGGACTTAGAAGCCCAAGCAGACTTCATTGGTGAGCCCTCTCTTTGGAACTCTGCAGGACTAGGCTCTTCCTAGAGAAGGCCGACATTCACAGCTCTGAGCTTGCAGGCCTGTAACTGGATCACACTGGGAGTCTGGCCCTTCTCACACAGGCAGCACAGCCTGGTGGAATGTGGAGAGATTCTGAAGTCTGCCAGTCTTGGGTTGACAGCCTGGCTCTGCTACTCTCTGGCTGTGTGAGCGTGGACAGGTCATCTCATCCCCAGCTCTAAAACGGGGGTGATGGGGTGCCTGGGTGGCTCAGTTAGTTGAGCATCCGACTTCGGCTCAGGTCATGATCTCACAGCTCATGGGTTTGAGCTCCATGTCGGGCTGTGTGCTGACAGCTCAGAGCCTGGAGCCTGCTTCAGATTCTGTGTCTCCTCTCTCTGCCCCAACCCCGCTCATGCTTTGTCTCACTCTGTTTCTCAAAAATAAATAAATGTAAAAAAAAAAATTAAACCAGGGTGTTGGGGTGCCTGGGTGGTTCAGTTGGTTGAACGTCTGACTCAGGTCATGATCCCAGGGTCGTGGGATCAAGCCCCACATTGGGGTCCACACTGAGCATAGATTAAGTACCGCTTAAGATTCTCTCTGTCTCTCCCTCTGTCCCTCCCTACCCTTCTCTAAAATAATATTAAAAAAATTTTTAAACGGGGATTCTGATCCACACTTGCCAGGGCACTGTTGTGTGAGACCAGGGGTCAGCAGGTGTGGCCACACTCTGAATTGGAGAACATGTCTAGAAGCCACAGCAATATCAACAGCAACTTCATCCCATCCCCTGACCCAGTGGGCATACGTTGCCCCTAGTTCTGAATTCCCTCATCTTGCCTGAGCCGCGCATGGCTAGCAGTCCTAGGGACCTCTGCCTAGGTGTTTGTTTTTGGTTGTATGGTTGAACCACAGTTTTCGTGCTCTCACTGCATATCAGATATAAGGCTAGGCCCTTTGGTATACCTCACCGTAGTTCATTCTCCCTTGCTTGAGGGTTGCATGTTACAGATGAGGAGGCAGAGATTCAGAGAGGCGACTTGAACTCCAGTCTTGCCAGGTTCCCCACCAGGACACAGTAGAAGAGCCCCAGAGGTTACCAGCTCTGGATTTGAATCCTGCTCTGCTGGGAAACTTTATGTTCTTCCCAGGGCATTGTATTGGGAGGCACAGCATGGCAGTTTTCCCCATGACTGGTGATGGTAACTCTGATAACCTGATTAAGGTGGAGACTTCCAGGTTCTCCACTCTAAAATTACTTTTTCCTTTGGAATGAATAAGTATTTTTGAGTCTGTCAAAACATCCTGTTCATCAAATTTCTGCCCACCACATTTAGCATCCATTGTGGTTTCTTTCCTGATTCAGTGATTTCTGACAGTTGCCAAATGGTGACTTTTAATTTCAGCATTCCTTCCATATTTGTTAGATTGCTTTCTGTTCTCTGGAAGAACTTTTCCTTATCCCCCATTTATTTATTCATTGATTTATTCATATCGTTATAGACTCATGGGTTCCTGTTTTATTCAGTGACTTATAACTATTTACTGTCTTCATTTATTTTGATTCTTAAGCTTGTCTTAGATGTGGCCAGTGTGAGCCCTTCAGACTGGTTCCTATGTTCTGTTGATGTGTTTCCATCATCCTTTGAACATATCCTTACTTTTTGGCACAGTAAGATGCCCTACACTTACCTTGAACCTTTGCTGCCTCAGCTCTGGAATCAGTCCTTTGTTCAGGGAGCCCTGATCCTTTTTAGTGGAGAATGGTACTTAGAATCCAAGATCTAGACACTAGGTGTGCTAATTGCTACTGGGGTGCCATTGCTTTAAGGTCCTCTTAACAGAACTAGGAAGTATGTGAATGTGTGAATGTATGTACACAGACACACATGTACATGTGTTACCTGCTCTTCCAGTCCAGCACTGCAGGGCTCCTTCTAGGCTTCTTCTGTTCCATACCCTTCTCTTACAGGGAAAAGCCCAGTTCCTGCTGTCTACCAGATATTTATACGCTTAATCCTGGAACACACAGAAAGTAGACTGACAATTGCTAACTTTTATCTCTGTGAATAGTCAGTATCTGTTTATAGGTCTTTTGTCGTTAGCCGGAGGGCAACTAGTCAAAATACTTTGGAAATTACTTGGGTGAGTTGTTTCATTCTTTCCTAACCTGGTGGTTATGTTAATCATTTGAAATACTGTTAGGATCGCAGTTTTTGTTGTTGTTTTTTGTTTTTTTAAGGATTCCCCTCATTCTAGATTTTCTTTATAGAGCAAATGAGACATTAACATAGTCCTTAAAAAGTCTATAAACTTCAGAGAAGTGCTGTGTGAAAGTATAAGTTTCTTTCTCTCTCTGATCTTCAAGATCCTTATCTGTAATGATATCAAGTTAACGTTTATAGAATCCTTGCTCTGTGCCAAGCTTTCTGCTAGGTATTTTAGATAGATTAGGTATATTAGATAGATAGATAGATAGATAGATAGATAGATAGATAGATAGATATCACATCACTACATTTTAAATCTTGAAAACAGTCCTACACTATGGGTACTGCTGTTACTCCCATTTTATAGATGAGGACATTGAGGCTATCCAAGGTCCCATAGCTAGGAAATAGTGGAACCTGGATTTGAACCCAGGCCAGACTCTAGTTCACATTCTTACTTGTGCTTTGAGGACTCATTGTGCCTGGTAAGAAAGTAGATGCTCAGAACACGTTTGCCCCCCTTCAGCCAAGTCTGCCCAGCTCACAGTAATCAGGTAACTGAGGTTGGGGTGGAGGTGATTTGCATCTTGGCTGAGCCGTCCCTCACACACCCTCTCATCTTTCAGGAGAGTTCATGGAGAGCCTGCAGGACCCAGACCTGAATGTGCGCCGGGCCACTCTGGCTTTCTTCAACTCGGCTGTGCACAATAAGCCCTCACTGGTCCGGGACCTGCTGGATGACATCCTGCCCCTCCTCTACCAGGAGACAAAGATCCGCAGGGACCTCATCCGAGAGGTAAGGCCATTGAAGGCCAGTGAAGGCCTGACTGGCGGAGCTGTGACAAGGATTTGGGTCAAGCTCTTCAGAGCAGGCACGTGGGCCATGTGGCCTGGGTCAAATGCTGCACCTCCACTTCCAGGTTGTGTGACCCTGGGCACATTGACCTAGGGACAATTTAATCTGCTCTGAGTCTGTTTCTCTTCTTGGGAAAAATGAGGAAAATAGTTCGTGTCTGCATCATAGGGTTGTTGACAAGATTCAATGAGTTATGTCCTGCAGCTTCTCAGGGCTGCTCCTGGCACATAGTTGGCACTCGGTAAATGTTGGCGGTTCTTATTATCACTCAACATTCAGCAGGCATTCACTGAGCACCAGCACTGTGTCAGAGTGCCAGGATCAGAGCTGGATCAGAGCTGCCACTAGAGAGCTCATGGCCACCTAAAGGATAGAGACACCCATTCTGCCAATTATTTTACTGAGATAGAGCCTATTTGGTGCAATAAGGATTTAAGGGGCACAGATTAAAAGTTAATTAACAGCTATTAGCACATAGTATAATAAAAATGTCTTGGGGAGCCTGGGTGGTCACTCAGTTGAGCATTCAACTTCGGCTCAGGTTATGATCTCATGGTTCGTGGGTTTGAGCCCCACATCTGACCTGCTGCTGTCAGTGCAGGCCCACTTTGGAGCCTCTGTCTCCCTATCTCTCTGTCTTTCCCCTGCCCATTCTCTCTCTCTTTAAAAAAAAAAACAAAAAAAAACAAAACCACCTGGCATTGCTGAAGAGGAAGCGACTATGTTTAGAGGGGTTAGGAAAGTTTCCCAAAAGGGGGCATTTAAGTTTCCCAAAAGGGGGCTTTGAGGGGTGAGAATGAGAGTACCATTAAGAACAGAGCCTTGTGGTTAAAAGCTTCAGAGACCCGGGCTTTTAATTCTAGTTCAGCCACTTACTAGCTGTGTGTTCTTGGGCAAATTAATTAACCTTTCTGAGCCTTAGTTTCCTCTTATGTTACGTGGGGTTAATATAACACTGTCTTCCTGGGGCTGTTGTGATGCTTGAGTAACATGTCATTTGTCAAGCACTCAGCACAGTGGCTGGCACGTTACAACTGCTCAGTAGACTATAATAATTATTGTTACTGTTATTATCAAAGGGCATTGCAGGCTGAGCAAAGGCAAGAGATTGGGGACAGAACGCAGTACTGAACAACAGAGGTGGGGTGTGCAGCAGGAACTAAGGGAGGTGTTCTTACACCCTAGAGTCACATCCCATAACCCTTGTCACCCTTCCCTCCTGCAGGTAGAAATGGGGCCCTTTAAGCACACAGTGGATGATGGGCTGGACGTGCGCAAGGCAGCCTTTGAATGCATGTACTCGCTGCTTGAGAGCTGCCTGGGCCGGTTGGACATCTGCGAGTTCCTGAATCACGTGGAGGATGGCCTGAAGGACCACTACGATATCCGGGTAGGATGGGCTCCCTGCCAAACCTATGCCCACCCTGTACGAAGGGGAGAGCAGGCACCACTGGGGCCCATTGCTTGTTTGTCCCCCACTCTCCACCCCAGCACCCCTGTAAATAACTGCATTGTTCTTTTTCAATAAGAAAGAGAGCCAACCTCTCAAACACCTTTGAGGAGAGTCTACACTGGGCAAGCTCTTTGGAGGACGGTTTAGCAGTAGCTAGAAAAATTTAGAATTCTGAGACCCACCTTTGACCTAGCAGTTCCATCTCTGTGAACAGAGCCTCTAGACTGATACCTAAAAACATGTTTGGAGTTTTATGTTCTAGATTGTTCTGAGAGTTGGGGAAAGCTGGCAGCTTCCCAAATGTCCACCTATCAGAAGATCACTCAATAAACTGGGTACCTCTGGTCTTGGAATGCTAGCAGCATTAAGAAGAGTGAGCCAGGTCCCTCTGCACTGATGTGAGAGATGCCCAAGGTCCGCTGTTGATTGATAAAAGCCAGTTTTTACAGGCATTTCCCCCATGCTTTTCCCTTCTTACCCCTTCTGGCCACACGGCCCTCTTGCCTGCCCTCCAGGGAGCACAGGACAAGGCCTGGGCATCAGTGCAACATTTGGACTCCTATGTCCAGGCTCCTTTTGGTGTTGAGGAGGGTGAGTTTGCACCACACCCTTAGAGAGTGGGTTTATGATGCCCACTCTACAAGGGAGAGGCCAGAGAGCTGGGTGGTTCCAGGGCACCAGCTGGGAAATGGAGGAACCCTGAGTCACAGCATGTGCTGTGTGATGCCATGCTTTTTGCTGGTCCCCCTCCTTTGCTGTGGGTTGCGGGGGGGATCAGGGCAGGGTGGACATCTGGTAGGGATGGGTAGGGCGTGTAGAATTCAGACAACCATCCGTTATGCTGCATGTTTGTAGGAATTTCACCATTTTCAAAAGAGGTCACCATTATTCTCCTGCAGGCTGGACCAGGATTGTAGATGTGTTTAGTTGGCTCATACAGCAGTTGTTTGTTTTTTTTTAACTGGGTGCCAGTATTTAAAAGTTGAGAGATTTTACGTGAAAATCAGTTTCTTTTGAAAACAGTGCATGAGCTCTGGGCCACATTCCCACGGCCACAACGGGCTGGAGCTAACAGCTGCTGTCTGGAGTGTGGACTCCTAACTCCTTCCCAGTTGCCATCTGGCCCTCTTCACTCATGGACAGTGTCTGCCTGGCCCTGTGAGCATCTGAGCTTGAGAGTAGTCCCCTCCCTGGTGCTTCTTCTTATCTGATCCTCCTCAGCCAAGTGTAGCTGGCGTAGTGGGTATTGCCATTCACATTTTTTTAATGTTTATTTATTTTTGAGCGAGAGATACAGAGCATGAGCAGGAGAAGGGCAGAGAGAGAAGGAGACACAGAATCCAAAGCAGGCTCCAGGCTCTGGGCTGTCAGCACGTGGGGCTCGAACTAACGTACCACAAGATCATGACCTGAGCCTAAGTCAGACGCTCAACCGACTGAGCCACCCAGGCGCCCCCTGCCATTCACTTTATAGATAAGAAAACTGAGGCCCAGAGTGGGAGAGACTGTTGCAGGGCCCTGGCAGGAATTAGTGCTAGAGTTTGGACCTGAGCTCCAGGTATTGGTACCAGATCCTCTGATCTTCCCTGGGCTCTGCTCCTTTTGGCCATTTCACTGTGAACGTTGTCTCCTTCCTCTGGGGCAGATGCTGACCTTCATCATGCTGGCCCGACTGGCTACCCTGTGTCCCGCACCTGTTCTGCAGAGGGTGGACCGGCTCATTGAGCCACTCAGGGCCACCTGCACCGCCAAGGTAAGCCCTCCTGCCTAGCCCTGGGCACACCTACAGATTATTCAGTTACCATTTATGGGTAGTATATGAAGTGCTTCATTTAACTGTTGTTGTCACCCTATAAAGTATTTCTTATTGTCACCACTGTATACACAGAGGAACAGAGACTCAAGAGAGGTGCAGTTATTGATTTGGGCTACCCAGCTAGTAAATTGCAGAGCTGGGATTCACACCCACCTCTTTCTTTCGTTCATCAAACATTTCCTGGGTGCCGGCCCTTGTAGCAAGGTACTAGGGATACCACATTGAACATGGTGTATTCCCTACTCCCACATCCTAATTGGAACACTGAGTTATTCTCTTGGAAAGATAGAAACCATTGATCGGGTGATTGATCCAGGGCAGAGTTGCTGCTAGGCTGGAGTGCCTCAAGGGTCAGGGGAGGGATCTGGAGTGGAAGGCCTGGGGGAAAGCTGCAGCACTGGGAACAGAGCCTGGTGTCCAGTAATTATCTGTTGACTGAAAGAACTAATCTGGGTTTTGAAAGGGTAGGAATTAACCAAACGAGGGCAGAGTATTTCAGATTGGAGCTTAAAGAGGAGAGAGATCTATAGAACAGTGATTTTCAAGTTGCAAAAGAGCAAAACCTTTTCCAAAAAAATGAAATCTTTTGTGGCTAAAACAGATAAAATTGGTAATTTCTTAATAGAAACCTACCTTTTAAGTTTCAGTTTGTAAACCTATGCATGGTATGAAGTCATAGAAAACAGTGGTTCTGCAGGGCCATTGCAGTCTTGACAGTTTCAAAGGCCAAATCACTTCTAGTTTTCTTGGAGCTATACAGCATGGAGAAAAATCCCAGTTCACAGGGAAAGGCTGCAAATGGTGTTGCAGCATCAGGACACCCTTCCACTCGGCTAAGATGGCAAGAGGAGCTTTGATCTGAGGCCTACACAGAGGCCACTCATTCTGGCTGCCCAGAGGGCACTGTGTGTGGGGTGCTATGATGAAAACTTGCTGCATCCAAGTCCACGATCCCTCATCCACTGAAACCTACAAAGCTCTGGAAACCAAAAGCTTTTTATTTTTTTTTTTATTTTTATTTTTTAATGTTTATTTTTGAGAGACAGAGAGACAGAGCGCAAGTTGGGGAGGGGCAGAGACAGAGGGAGACACAGAATCCCAAGCAGGCTCCAGGCTCTGAGCTGTCAGCCCAGAGCCCAGCGTGGGGCCTGAACCCACAGACCATGAGATCATGACCTGAGCCAAAGTCAGCTGCCCCCGACTGAGCCACCCAGGTGCCCCACTGTGTTAAGTCATTTAATCCTTAAAAGCAACTCTATGGAAAGGAGACTCTTACATATAGAAAGGGAAGTACAGCTTAGAATGACCACCTGAAGTCACAGATCTTACAGGGCAGAGCTATTTGAACCTGATTGTTCAACCCCAATGCCAAGCTCTTAACCATTACACCGGACTCTTCAAGGGAAAGAGTCTTTGGGTGAAGTCAGGGGCATGGAGAGGAATTTGGACTTTATTCCATAAGCAGTGGGGGGAATTCTGAGATCCTCTAAATAAGTGGAAGAGGGTGGGGGATGAAAAACAAGGCAGACAAGGCAGTTTTGGGTACTTGCTGTGCAGAAGAGATTGCAGGGCCAGGCACCTGAGTTGGGGGGAAGAAGCCAGGCCAGCTAGATGACTGTCACAGTGATCCATTCATTCAATTAAGTCAGATGGTACCACCAAGTCATATGATACCAAGAGCCTGTTTTTAAGCACAGTGAATAAACATAGGCTGAATCTCCAATCGGGGCAGGAGACAATTAACACTTTATAGCAATTGTCACCACTGAATTATTTATTTTTTAATTTTTTAATTTTTTTAATGTTTATTTATTTTTGAGAGAGAGAGAGCGTGAGTAAGGGAGGGGTAGAGAGAGGGAGACACAGGCTCCAGGCTCTGAGCTGTCAGCACAGAGCCTGACGCGGGGCTTGAACTCACGAACCGGAGATCATGACGTGGGCTGAATGAAGTCAGAGGCTTAACAGACTGAGCCACCCAGGTGCCCCCATCAAATTACTTATTAATGAAAAGAAAGGTGGACAGTTTAGATTGGCTGGTCCGAGGCCCCCTAGGTGACTTCAAAGTTGATTTGAATGACAAAGAATCACCCTCTGGAGAAACCTACCAGTGTAAAAGTGCAGGAGAAATCTCAGGAGACTGAAGTAGGGGAGTATGCTGTGATTTAAACTGGGAAAGCTTACTACAGGTGGTTGAGAGGAATCCAGAGACTAGCGAGGGAGGCTGTGATGCCAGGCCAGGCCAGGCTCAGTAAAGGATGGCTCGTTTTTTCCCACTTTAGGTCAAAGCTGGTTCCGTGAAGCAGGAATTTGAGAAGCAAGATGAGCTGAAACGCTCCGCCATGAGGGCTGTGGCCGCCCTGCTGACCATCCCGGAAGTAGGGAAAAGCCCCATCATGGCTGACTTCTCTTCCCAAATCCGATCCAACCCCGAACTTGCTGCCCTCTTTGAGAGCATCCAGAAGGATTCTGCTTCAGCCCCCAGCACAGACTCTATGGAGCTCAGCTAGTGCTTCTCCAGTCCCCAGGTGGGCCCTTACCAAGAGAAGGGGGCCTACCCAAGCCTGAGGCCTCACTGTCCCCATGCTGGCCAAAGGCCTCTGCTTTTGCCCTTTCTTCATCTCACTGGGGGGCCGTCCTGCTCCTGGTCGGGGCTTACAGTGCCTTCTCCAGGGACCCCAACTCGAGGCCCCCAGCAGGAGCTGCAAGGCTGCCAACAGTTGGACCCTGTAACTCAGGACAGTCATTCGAAGCAACAGGGCATGGACATTTTTCCAAGCCCTTCGGCACAAATAGCGGATGTGTGACTTCACACTGGGCAGTCTATACCTTCAAACTGGGGAGTCACTGCCTTACAGAGGACTAAGTAGTGTTTAGAAATACTCTTGTGCTCACAGCTGTGAAAGGTTAGGAGGCAGCCGGCTGGCCTTCTTTCCCACCAGTGTCACTCACACCTCTCCCACTTTTCACTTCACTTGATCTGATAGGCCAAAAATTCATGCTTCGGCTGGGCATCTGAAAAACTAAAGCTACTTCTCTGAGCTTCTTGCATTTTAGAACTCAAAATGCTTCCTTTTCCAATTGGTAGTGATGATTCAGAAATTGGTATTTTTGCAGGGGAGGTGGTTGGGATAGAGAATTAGATCTAATATGTTTTTTTCTAATTTCAAAACGCTTATGTAGTCAAATGGGAAACCAGAAAGCACAAAGGAAACTAGACCACCTCTCACGCCACGCCACCTATAGGTGTAACCAGTTGGTTTGTGTCCTTCGGAGGAAGACTTTGAACATGTTGTTCCTAGTTTTTAGTATTGAAGACACAAATATTAAGCGACAGATTAAAAGAATTTTCTGTACTGTCCCAGGTTAATAAGAGATCCTTGTTACTTTTTCTCTGCACAGTTCCTCTACTAGGCATGTCACCATCCGTATGTTTCCCAAGTCAGTTTAAAGAAATTATGAAAATGACGAACATTTACTCAAATGTTTCAGACTAGGTTTTGAACTGAAGGCAGCCCACCTGTAAGACCTTTTTCTAAGGGACTTAAAACCGCTCATGGCTAGCATGCCAAGAAAATTCTAACCAGGGTAGTTCTTTCTGCTCAGTTGACCAGGTTGGTAGGGAAAAACACCCTGTATGCAGTTATCTTGTTCTGGAGTCTACATGCCATATCCCAGGACTATATACTGCCACTTGCTACCAGTTCTTGGAAAAGTGGTACCCTAACTTTACAGACATGCCTGACTTTATCATGCTTTGTAGATACTGCATTTACAAATTGAAGATTTGTGGGAATCCTGCGTCCAGCCACATCTGTCAGCACCATTTGCTCATTTCATGTCGTATTTTCCTCAGTTCACTTTTTCATTATTGTATTTATGATCTGTGATCTTTGATGTTACTATTCGTGCCTGAAGATGTGACGGTCATGAGAAAATTTTTAACGGTGGAGTTGAGATGGAATCTGCTCCTGGTGAAGGTGCTGTTAAAGACTGTTGAAATGACAACAAAGAACTGAAGAATATTACATCAACTTAGTTGATAAAGCAGTGGCAGGGTTTGAGGGGATGGACTCCAATTTTGAAAGCTCTCTGGGTAAAAGTGCTCATATTACATGCTACAGAGAAGTCATTCTTGACTCCATCAATGCAGCAAACTTCATGGTCTTAACTTTAGTAACTTGCCAGTCTTCAGCAACCACCACCCTCATTAGTCAACAGCCATCAGCATCGAGGTAAGACCCTCCACCAGCAAAGATTGCCATTCATAGAAAGCTCAGGCAGTTATTTTTGCAATAAAGTTATTTTTAAATTAAGGTATGCACATTATTTAGGTAAACTATTGCACATAATAAATTTGAGTATGGTATAAACAGAACTTTTATATGAACTGGGTAACCAGAAAATGCGTCGGACGTGTGACTTGCTTTATCCCAGTGGTCTGGAACCAAACCAAGCCTGGGTCTCCGGAGGCATGCCTGTAATTAACAGGGCTAAATTCTAGCTATTGTTGCCTAGAGTGTGGGCTGTAGTTGAAAAGGAAGCTTGATTATTAAATCCTGAATACCAATCAAGAGGCTATATCATGTTAAGGATCCCACAACTTCAGAAATTGTTCAATTACCTGAAGCAGCCAGCTAGGGGAAGGTTATAAAAGGGAGACTACAAAATATCTTCAGACATCCAAGGCTGATCATATAGTAGAGGGATTTTTGTCATCCTGTCATGGTTTAGGACAGAAGCCACAGGATGCTATTTCAGCACCAAATAAGTAAGGAGTAAGGGATTCACCTGGATTCTTTCATGCAATTTCTCAATCACGAGAACCACATAGAGTAAATGTCATCCAACTTTACATAGCAAACCTAAGAAAGACTACTTGCTCTGAGCTACAAGGTCCTCCAGTTAAGGGAGGAACCCACCTTGGTCTGAAGGCCAAGTCTTCCCTACCCCCAAATGGAGTGGACAAGGCTGATCTGGGCACCAGAGGCCTGTGCCCTATGAAGAATAAAATATCCTTTATAAACCTCTTCCAAATGGAAGATTCCAGAGTATTAACCAGCAGTAAAAAAACATCTGTGACAACTTGTCTGAGTAGGAAATTGAAGAGTAAAACCAAAGAGGGAAATGCCAGATGGTAGTTTTATGGTTTTATTAACACAAATATGATGTGCACATAAACTGTCTATTCATTTTCTTCGCTGCGCAGTCTGGCATTGGGATTCGTGACTCTGATGGCCAGCTGGGCTGCTCTTTCCACAATGGCTTTACGGTTCTTGGAGGAGACATTGTGAGCAATCTCTGCACAGTAAGATCTGGAAGAGAATTGGTTAGTGAGTAGAGTAAGGAGGCGCTGGTAAATAGCTGATGAACAAGACCTGCACAGCCCCGAATCCCAACTCTCCTAAAATCTATGGTACCAGCAGTAAGGCTCTTAAAGTATTCCCAGGCAGTGACAAAAGCACTCTCATTGTTCCCTCTCACTTAATCCTTACAGCAGTCTTATGATTCATGTATTGCCTCCATCTTACAGACAAACCATGGCCCTTAAAGGTGGAAATGAATTCCCAAGTCAGATATATAGAAACAGACAGGGCTATCATGGCTCAGACCCAGACTCCAAGTTCAAAGGTCCTCCTCTATCCTTCTAGTCCCATGAAGTTTTAAAACTCTGCAAAGTAACCAAGAGCAGAATCCAACAGTCTGATTAAACCAGGAGCTTCCTGGCTCAGACATTAATTTACTTGTTTGCTGCTGACAAAATTCAAATTGAGAAGTAACATTGCCTGAAGTTGCCCAGCAAATAACTATACTTTAACCCGCCTAACAGATACTGTTCCAACTTATTCCTCACAGCTGCACCATACCCTGGTTTGGTAACAGACTGGCCCGAAGCATTTTATGACGCCAGCAACAGCTAATTAAGATACTGTAGGGGCACCTGGCTGGCTTATTAGGTGGGTCATCTGACTCTTGATCTTGGGGAGGCGAGTTTGAGCCCCATGTTGGGTGTAGAGATTGCTTAAAAATGAAATCTTAAGGAGCAGCTAGGTGGCTCAATCAGTTAAGCATCTACTGATTTTGGCTCAGGTTATAATCTCATTGTTTGTGAGTTTGAACCCCAGTCAGCTGGAGCCTACTTCGGGTTCTGTGTCTCCCTCTCTCTGTCCCTCTCCTGCTCATGCTCTCAAAAATAAACATTAGAAAAGAAAATGAAAATCTTGAAAAAAAAAAAAGACTCTAGGAGAAATTTCAGCAAAGGAAGACTGTAAGAAGTGACTAAGGCAATGGGGCATACAGAGTTCTCTTTAAGAACTCCAGCAAAATAGCTTAACAGACAAGCAAACTAAAAGAATTTTTTTTTCTATAAAGGAGGTTCACTCAAGCTCAAAGTAGCTGTATTTTGAAATGTTTCCATCTTTGGTCTTAACACTTAAATCTTTTCTTCCCCCCTCGATAACTCCTCAGGTCCTCGTCCATATATATATTTAACATATCAATCATCTTAAATACCTTCCCCTCTGCCTAGGCATTTTCCACACATGATCACCATTTTGAGTGTATATGTAACATTCCACCCAGTGCTTGTACTCCCACCATTCACAAATTACACTTTCAATCCTTCAATTACTGCTGCAATGATCAGCCTTACAAAGATTTTCTGCTTTTCAGTTTAAGGACAAATATCCAGAAATGCAACTTGTGGTGTAAAGGTCACAAATTCCAAAAAATTCTATAGCTCTTTACACAAACTGTCAAGCTATTTAAAAAGAGTACCTTTTTGGCATCCAGCAGCATCTGCAACTCATGTTTGCTGCCCAAGTATCTTTAATAGGAATATAAGAACACCATTCCCTCCAACCCAAATTCAAAGCATCTAAATAACTTCCCACATTAAATGTTTTCTCATCCCACTGTCCCCCTTTTGGCCTAAGCAAACCAAGTCTCTCACAGAGCTCATAAAGTGTCTAACTTTCTTAAAACCCTTGAAAGGAATGCTGTGAATCCTCTGTGCACTCTAGCATCTCTACAACTTTGTGTAAGCCATCCTGATTGCAAAGCCTTCCTCCTTTTCTCTACCTCAGATCACAGAGCTCTTAATCAGACAGCAACTCGTCTATTCCTGCAGATTTTGGAAGAGAGATACCTGTGGCCACAGCATAAAGTGTCCCTTAGGTCTGAGGCTACACTATATCCCCCATACCTCCACATAAATAAAGCCACCATTCTGCAAAGAACTGCCAAAAGGATCCTCCAGCGTTTTTACTGTCAGGCAAAGTCCTGTCTTTCCAGGTCTCAGGTCTCTATACTTACCAGGGGAAGTTCCCTCACCCTGCTCCAGCAAAGGAAACCTTTCTAAGCTCCCAACAAGCATTCTTTAAGCTCCCTAGAGAATATACAACTCCTCCAAATGCATTCTATAAAGTCCCTACCAAAATTGCTCACAGATGCAGACTTCTGACACCTGAACCCAGAAGTGGGGCCCAACTCACTTGTTGCACATCAGCAGCACCTCAAGCTCCTTGACATTGTGGACTAGGAACTTCCGGAAGCCACTGGGCAGCATGTGCTTTGTTTTCTTGTTGCTCCCGTAACCAATGTTGGGCATCAAAATCTGGCCCTTGAATCTTCTGCGCACCCTATTGTCAATGCCTCTGGGTTTCCGCCAGTTGCGCTGAAATAAACACAGGAGGGTTAGTGCCTTTGCCAACACCTCTTCCTTTTAGAGGAAAAAAGGGGGACCCAATGAAAAGGAAACATGCCCCAACAGTAGCTGTCGTTGGGTTACAGTTCACCTTTATTTGGTGGAGAAAAATAGGGGCTCCTGACTTTGAGCACCAGGAATATAGACTCACATCCACACTCCTAAATAAAGGAAAAACAAACTACAGACTGATAGAATGTGAGGGGATTGTGTATACAGTAAGGTAAAGAGTGAAGAGCATGGGTTCTAGCACTGCACTCAAGATACAAGTTTTCTCATCATAAAATAAGGATAATCTACTTCTCATAACCTCTTAAGGCCACCTAAAATGATACAAGCCTCTAGACACGTCAAAACAGCCAAACGTCCAATTCATACTATAATCAAGTGACTGAATGCCAGTAAGGTGTACTCAGACCTAAGTTTCTAGAGAGCTCTTCCACTAACTAGACTGGTTCATCTGCCAAATGTGATCTTCTGACCAGGTGATACCATAAATCCAACAGCCCATTTAGGGGCTCCTTTCTCCACCCCAACAAACACTTCCATCCCAGGACCACATATACCTTAATTTTGACATATCGGTCTGACTGGTGCCGGATGAACTTCTTGGTCCTCTTTTTAACGATCTTGGGCTTCACCAGAGGTCTGAGGGCAGCCATGATGCCTTCAAGAAAGAAGCAGAGATGGTGACAGAGTCCTAGAAGGAAGCTTTCCTGCTCAGGCCTTGAACATTGTTGCAGAGTGTCTTCCAATCTCCAGCTACTGAGCAAACTGGGAATGGAATGGGTACCTCTGCCAGGCTTGCTTTCCCTCCCGTTTCCGAAGCTGGCAGAATACGAACCACTCTCCAGACGCGATCCTGGGAGGTCAGCAGTCACTTCATCCACTGAAGAAAAAAAGCACGCTAACAGCTAATCTAAAACAAATGGGGGCGCCCGGGCGGCTCAGTCGGTGGAGCATCCGACTTCAGCTCAGGTCATGATTTCACACTCTGCGAGTTCGAGCCACACGTCGGGCTCTTGTGCTGACAGCTCGGAGCCTGGAGCCTGCTTCAGATTCTGTGTCTCCCTCCCTCTGCCCCTCCCCTGCTCATGCTCAGTCTCAAAAATAAATCAAAACATTTAAAAAAAAATAAAAAAAATGGACCCCCAAAAGTTCTCAGCTTGCACAAGGGAGCAAATCCCACACCTGGCGCCCCAAACTCCAGACAGTCCAATTTCCTTTTCGTTAGGCAGAACTTGGGACAATCCACAAGAACCTGAGCCTTAGTTGTTTTCCCACCTGTAAAATGGAAAGGATACTGCACGTTGAATGCTTGCAGTGACTGGAAGTAGAGAAACCTGTTATTTCCCCTAGAGTGCTGCTGCTCTACAATTCTCTCACAACAGACCTATAAAACCATAACGTACTGATGCTTCTAGGCCTTGGAACTTCCTGTTCTACCTGAAGATCATCCGAGGACCGGCCTTCCCGATTACCCTAGTTTTTTTTCCCTAATACAACACCCTTTTTGTTCTCTTCGCTGCTTCTATTCCTTTGTTCAGCACACGGTACTCCGTGAACTTTGTGTTCGATAAAGGAACGCACCTCCGCCCGAAACATTATTTCCTCGCAGACAAGGACGCAGTTTTATATTCTCAGAGATCCTTCGTTAACTGAACCGATCGACTAGCAGCAATCGATTATTTTGTTTTGGCGGTCTGGCCGCAGCAGCAACCCCAAGACCAGAACCGCAGAGGAGGGAGCGTCGGTCGGCGTGAACAAAATACACGCGGAAACACAACGCTGACCAAAACTGGAATACTCCTGCCCTCGGACTGGAAACTTCTGGTGGCTTCACAGTCCCTACAAGCCCGCGCTGCCTAGACCCGAAACGGCGACCTTCACTCCCAGGCCTCAAACAAGCTGTCAGCAACGCTGAGAGACACCAGGCGGCCTCCGTAGGGCGGCCAAGTGGCCCTGGGAAGCAAACCTCCATCATCGGCTGGGCCGCTTCGTTCTGTTCCTGTACGTGCTCCAGCCAACCGACAAGGACAAAGCCCACCAAGACGAGTGCTCGGAAGGGCAGGCCTCCTCACCACGAAGCGACAATACCAGATGAAGACCGCAGAGATGCGGATGGCCAACGATTAAAACTCACCGAGTTACAGATGGCTGCCACCTCCGCAGGCAGCGCCGAGGAAGAGAGTGGAAGGTCGCGCGCGAAGGCTGACGGGACTTAACTTCTGGGTCCTGTCAGGGAAAAAAGAGTACTTCCTGCGCTTGGTCCTTCAAAGGAAAGAGAGACATTTCAGAGAAATACTGAAAAAAAGTCGAGGAATACATGTGTTTTAATATATATTAATATCTAGAAGTACTGCTGGGAATTTTTCATACCTGACGTAGGACTACGTAGAATATTTGGAATTCTTTCTGAGCTTTTAAGACCTGGTGGGGGGGGCATCCACTTCCGCCAGAAATTGAAGCCGTTCTTCCGGAGAACAATCCAGTTTTTAGATTATTTCCGCCCGCGTTTCTTCTGCTATTAAGTGCGCCTCTTGGTGGCCAGGAGGGAACAAAACAGTCTTCCTAATACTTCCCTCACGTGAATTTATAGAGTAAGATAGGAACGATACCCTAACAGCTATCATTCCATGGGTTTCACGATCCTTCCCACAATTCTGCAAGGTAGTTCTATTTTTTCCCCATTTTGCCTATGTAGAAAGCGACGTTTGGGGATTTGACTCCAAAATCCACACTTCTAATCATTCAGCTAACCTGCCTAGTTTTAAATAGTTGTTGATGGTTTTGTTTTGCTTAGATTTTGTATTTAAGATTATTGTAAAAAAAAAAATCAAATTTCAGGACGAAAAAATTGTGCATTGATTCCACAATTTGAACACAATACAGATGTCATCGCTGATCTTGATAGTAGTTCCAGGGGCCAGATGGGGACAGAAGCTACACTGGATTGTGTTGTTGACAGGATGAGAAGTGAGAAGGGAAGAGTGTTGACAACTCCTTCCTGAGATTTTGACTGTGAAGGGTAGGAGTTTGAAGAGACCCAGAGGAGTGAAATGTGAAATGTCTTGTCTAAGGTCGCACAGCTCACAAGTGATAAGGTTGAGACTGGAACCCTATTGTGCCTGTGACTACACCACACCTCATGAATCCTGCTTAGCCAGCCGGCTCTGGGAAGTCAGATGGGATGCAGAGAATGAAAGCATTGTGCTAACAGCAGCCCACATTATGTGTGTTGTGAAGGGAGGAGGTCTTGATGGGGTCAGGTGGGTTAATCAAGCAGAAGGCTCAGGAAACAGAGAGCATGCCTCTAACAGTGAAAGATGCAAGAGATTTGGAAGCAGTAACCAAAAAGGCTCAGTCTTTGGGGGACGAGAGACCGGCTGTGACCGTTTCCACAGAGAAGGGCACAGGGTACCCGCACTGCCTGCTGCTTTCCTATGAGCACTGAGATCCCAGGACAAGATGCTGCAGGTGCCAGGCAAGCATACCTGCAGTAGTGCCCTGGGCTCAGAACCCCAGCTTTTCAAACACTCCTCTGGCCCCAGCTCCTGAGCAAGAAATCACATCAGCTGGATCACAAGTGACATGAAAAAAAACTCCAATCTGGTTTATTTCAAAAGGGCAGAGGTCAAGACAGGGAAATACTCAGAAACTGCTTATCTTTCCCTAGATACACCTGCCCTCTGAGACACTGGACATTTTTGCTCAAGAGAGAGCTGGCACCAGGCCATCGCACTGAAATGATCTCTTTTATCTGGCTCTTTACACTTCCCGCTGTGTCTGTGGCTCTGGGCTGCTAGCTGCACTGGCCACAGCCCCAGGATGGCTGGGTCGGACAACACCTGGGCCACTTTAGTCGATGTAGTAGACCTTGGAGGCATCGTAATAGGCACAGGTCATGTAGTTCATGTTCCCAATAGGCCACCAGTGGTTGGGGTGGTAGGTGGCTGAGTAGGCATGGGGCTGGGGTTGGACACAACTGAAGAGTGCCAGGCTCCTGTCCATGGCCACAGTGGGCAGATAGAGCTGCAGCTTGTCCAGGAGGTGACCCGGCCAGAAGAAATTGGGGTGAGTTCGCAGTGAACCCCTGGACCTCTTCGCCTGCAGCTTCCTGGAAAATGAGAAGATAGGAAGTTTGTCGTGGCAGACCCGCCAAGGCTGGGGCTTCTGCTGAGCAGAGCTAAGCAACTGTGTGACCAGAGTGGAGGTGTGGCACTTTGCCAAGCACTTCGCTTCCATGTGGTAGGTCCTGTTATGCTGTCTGCCCTACCAAGGAGGACGTGAACACCTAGAGAGGATACGTTATTTCCCCCAAAGCCACACAGCGAGCAAGTGGTAGGATGCGGGCTTGACTCCCAATTTGCTGCCTTGAAACCCAAAATTCTTTTTTTTTTAATTAATTAATTAATTAATTTTTGAGAGAGAGAGAGCGCACGAGTGAGTAGGGGGCAGGGAGGGAGAGAGAGAGAGTGCAGAGCCTGGAGTGGGGCTCGAGCTCACCTGAAGCAGGGCTCAAACTCACAAATGTTAGATGGTGACGTGAGCCAAAGTGGGATGCTTCACCAGCTGAGCCACCCAGGCGCCCCCAAAACCCAAATTCTTAAGTGTACACCGTCAGTTCTCTCGAGGCATTTTTTTTTTCAACGTTTATTTTATTTTTGGGACAGAGAGAGACAGAGCATGAACAGGGGAGGGGCAGAGAGAGAGGGAGACACAGAATCGGAAACAGGCTCCAGGCTCTGAGCCACCAGCCCAGAGCCCGACGCGGGGCTCGAACTCACGGACCGCGAGATCGTGACCTGGCTGAAGTCGGACGCTTAACCGACTGCGCCACCCAGGCGCCCCTCTCGAGGCATTTTAATGTGATGTTCAGCGTATAGCCTCTGGAGCTAGCGTTGCTGGGTCCAAATCCCTGCTCCACCCCTTGATAGATGTGTGACTTTGAGCAAGATAATTAACTTTTCTGTACCTCAGTTTCCCCTTCTGCAAAGTGGGCATGCTAAGAGTAACTTTATAGGGTTCCTGAGAGGATTTAAATGAGTGAAAACATGGGAACACACCCACAGTGGCGTCTGCCTGGCACTCTAAGTAGTTTCACTGCCTCTCAGTTCCCGGGCATTGAGCCCTAGATACTGTGCGCCGCCGTGCAACATGCAGAGTCCCAGGCACCTCCTCCACCGTGAGGCTGGTCCTCCCTCCCCTGACCCGCTTACAGAGTTGGCTGATGCTACAGACCTGGTGAACTCCTCAAACTCCTTAAAGTGTATCTTCTTGATTTTCTTTGGTGTCTTCCTAGTAGAGAAGACAGAAAGGTATCTTGTCAGGATGGGGGGAATCCATGTTAATGGGGCCTCAGGTAGTAGGTCAGAGGACATGGGGGTGGGCCTGTCTAGTGAGTCCAAACCAGAGCTCCAAAAGGAGCATTTCTTCTATCTGGGGTGGGCTTGGTCAGCCAGGCCTGGGCTTCCAACCTGGCTGGCTGTGTGGCTCTGGGCAGGTCACTTCCCTTTTCAGAGCCTCATGTTTTTTATTTCCCAGAGCAGAGCCTCCCAGGGTAGCTGAGAGATGCGCAATGATCTGCATTGTTTGGGGGCCCCTGACTCTCACTTTCCCTGCCAGAGCCAAAGCCAGCTTTTGGAACAAGGGTGGTGAAAACTGACTCTCCAAATCTTGGGCCTGGCAGACATCACTCATTAATCACAGACGGCACTCTTTCCCAGCAGGCCTGCATCTGGCCTGAGAATCTTTGACAGCACAGTCCAAGTAGCAAGATAAAACAAATGTCCATCCCTGCCCTTAGGGACCTCCCTAAGGGACCTGCCCTTAGGGTCCTTAGGGACCTATCCCTTATGGCTGTGGCCTACCTAAACAGGGACAAGAGTCCCTTTCTCAGGCTCCCACCCACTCCCTAGGTTCCCGGTGCAGAAATGGATGTCAGCCACCCAGGGGCTGGCAGTCACTAAGTAATCAGAAAGGGCTCTCCAGGCCACCAGCCTTCTGACTCGTGCTCAGCTCTGCCTCCCCAGGGTTGTGGACAGGCCCCTCTGTAGGCCCAGGCCCATGCCTTCAGTCGAGATTGTCCTGATGGGACAGGTAAAACAACAACTATCACTGCTTCCAAGGGCTGACTATCTGCCAAACACCATGCTAGGAAGTTTATATGCATTTCTCATCTGATCCTCATTGTGTGTGGGAGGGGCTGTTATGCTCATTTAACAGATGAAAAGCTGAGGCTCAGACAGTGAAGTATTCTTGTCCGTTTAACCTGCAGCCTGTGGGATTTCCACTTGGCTCTGCTGTATCTCATCCCAGCTGTTCTGGCCATACCACCGCAGTGGGCAGCTGGCAGTGATCTAGAATGTGGGCAGTTCCCGGTCCCCTCCCCCCTTGTGGTCAGCTGGCCCCTCCTCATCCCACATTAGCCCCGTCCCTCCTCAGGGATGCAGGGATGCTGCTTGCTCTCCAATATGCAGTCACCCACGGATGCTGGCTCACAACCTGCCCATGGGTCACTTCCTCCCAAAGAAGGAGGTTGGTCTGAGGGCCAGAGACAGGCCCCATTGCAGAGTTCCTTTCTCCTCCTAATGCAAGCCCACCTCTTGCCAGAGAAGGCAGGACAAAGAAGGGACGGCCACCTCTGTTCTCTGTAGGGCCCCTGACCAGCCAACCCATGATTTGAGAAGGGGCCTATTTCCCTAAGAAGGCCCTCTTTTTAAGCTTTTGTAGAGAGGCTGAGATCACGTAGGACGTGGTTGGGAGTGAGGCAAGGAGGCTAATGCCCTCAGACACTGGAAATTGGCCAGTCCCTGGGGACCAGCTGGGTTGGACATGCTGGGCACGCTTGGCCACAGGCATTAGCACAACATGTCACCTCAAGTATGCTGGTATGCAAATGGCAGGGGGGAGAGAGGGGGTCTGATACTCAGCTTGTCAGTCTTCTTAGCCACAACATCGCTGAAGCCCTGGAACTTGAGCAGAGCCAGATTTGGACTGAAGATCTTCATATCTGAGTAGTAGCCTCCCGGCTGCCGGATTGGGCGTACCTCGTCCTTCTGGAAAATGATCTTGTCCCCTGGATACAGCAGGGCTGTAAGCAGCAAGAGAAACGTGGCCTCTCAGTCCAACACCCCTCCCTGCCCTCAGCCTTTGGGGCAGAAGGGAGGATTTTTTTTATATATAAGTCCACATTTTTGTTTGCAAATGATTTTTCTTAGATATACACTTTAAACTTTTTTATGCTTTTTTTTTTATTTTTTAAAAAGTTTATTTATTTATTTTGAAAGAGAGAGAGAGAGAGAGAGATGGGGTAGGGGCAGAGAGAGAGAATCCCCAGCAGTCTCTGCACAGTCAGCATGGTCCGTGCACAGCCTGACGTGGGGCTCGAACTACAAAGCGCGAGATCATGACCTGAGCCAAAATCAAGAGTCAGATGCTTAACTGACTGAGTCACCCAGGTGCCCCATTAAGCTTTTTATGTCTAAATGACTGTAGATTCACAGCAAGTTGCAAAGTGCAGAGGGTCCCTTAGACTCTTCCCCCAGCTTCCCCCAGGGGCGACAGGGCACATAACCCTAGTGCAGTGTTAGGAAGTGGGGTTGGTACAGCACTGGTGTCTGGACTAGAGCTGTGGGAGCTGGTTTGTAACCAGGTCAGCCCTGGCCCCAAAGCCTGGGTGCAGTTAGGATGGAGTGTGTGGTGCCCTACCCCACTCTGCATGGGGTCGTGCTGGTCACGAGGCCACAAGAAGGAGGGGAGGTTCACCCAAGGCTTCACCAGGTTAACTAGACCTAGTTGATGGAGGTTTTCTCCTTGCTTAGAATTAGTCCCATAGATATCCTCAGGAGACTGCTCTAAGAAGTCGGAGCATAAAAAACACTGGCCAGGGGCTCTGTCTTCCTGCAGCCACGGAGCAGTACTTGTCCTACGATGATAACGCATGACTAGCTCACGTTCTAGAAAAAGTAATGGAAGGTTACAGTCCAGGTTATTAATGCTGGTTATCTGGGGTGGGGGAGGAGGAGAGGGGAGGGCAGGGACTGTGCAGATAAGAGGGGAGAGGGAAGGGGAAGATGCAGCATCAACATTTCAAGAAAAATTCTTTTTAATGTTTATTTAATTTTGAGAGAGACTGAGACAGAGCGTGAGTGGGGGAGGGGCAGAGAGAGAG